TCTTTGCCAGGAATCTTGCAACCAGTTCCACGAGTTGGAAATGTGTTGCTGTGTCTGTGACTTTACAGCGGACAGTTTCATTTGATAATCATAGCCCGTTAGAGCTGGACGGAGCTGCGAGATCGCAGCTGCCTCATCTTACAGGTGATTATGTTGAGGTCTAGAGAGGGGTCCACTAGAGAGCTAGGACCAGGACCCAGATGTGCCTGCTAATTCATGTCTTATTTGGCCCAGTTCCGTGAGTGTGTGTTGGACCTTGGTGCTCAGGGAGGGGAGTCCTGGGGAAGTGATGGGGGAAACCACCTGCTATGTTTTGAGTACTGGCTTTGAACCTAGTCAGGCCCTTGATGTTGGTTAATTTGGTTAGTCTTCCATCAGCTTTTGAGTTAATCTTCTAACAGCTCCATTCTCAGGAGAGACTACTGAGGCTTAGAGGCATTTTGCAAGGTGGAACCAGTGTTTGAACCCAGATAGGTCTGGTTTCAGATACTGTGTTCTTTCTGTCACATCACTGCCAGGGCTGTCCATGCTTTAAGGCCAGGTTGCCAGAGGGCATTTTACACTGTGGGTGAAACACATGGTCATTCACTACTGAATGTAGTCTGTGGCTTGACTCTCTTCTTGATCTTGAAGTGGGTGTGTGCTGGAAGGGGAAAGTACCAGGAGAGAAAACCAGCCCGGTGTTTGGACTTCCAGCGTGTCAATTCATGCACACTCTTGCAGCATTCTATATAAAGCCCAGCTTCTTTTTATTTTATTTTAATTAATAAGATTTTATATTCTTAGAGAAATTTTAGGTTTAAAGAAAATTTAAGCAGAGTCCCCAAACACTCCTTTATGTCTCAGTAGTGTCAGCTCTTCAATTGTGTTCTTCAGTATCATTGCGCTAGTCTGGGTAGACTAGATGAACAAATTCATAGACACTCATGAAAGAGCTTTATATACAAGAGCAATTGAATATTGGGAAAACATGCCAGCCCAGTCCAAATCAAGTGCTTAAGTCCAATATTAGCCCATATGTCCAATACTAGCCCATAAATTACTCTATAGACTCACACAGCCATAAAATAATGCTGAATGCAGGATGATGGTAGGCCAGTGGATGGAAAGCCTTGTGGATCCAGTGGTGGTAGAAGCATTTCAGCACTATACAGGGTCTCTACGTGGTTCCTACAGCTCCGAGGGCTCTGGCTGCATCAACGTAGCTCCATGTGGCTGGTCAGGAATGTCTCGCAGGGCATGTCCCCCCTCCAGTGTGCTAATTTATATCCTTAGTGCCTCCAAATGAGGTCATCAAGCTGCGACTTTATCCACCCATTCATTTTTAAGTCTCAAATTGATACCAGATTATGTAACCACCACAATTACATAGACTATTCTACATCTTTTTCTTTATAAACTTTAGAAACAGTTTGTCAAAATTTGTGAAGTAACTTGCTGTAATTTTCATTGGCATCACATTGAACTCATAGTTGAGAACTGTCAGCGTTATTGAATCTTGTTTCGTGTATGTGGAATAAGTCCATTTATTTAGATTTTCCTTGATATCTTCAAACTTTTATAGTTTTCTTCGGAGAGATCTTGAACATAGTTTGTTAAATTTACCCTAAGTACTTAAGTTTTCTGGTGATAATATAATTCTTTTGTTTTTAAAACTTCACATTCCAGTTTTCCATTGTTGATGCTTCTAGGAAAAGCAGTAGGCTTATGTATATTTATTTTATTTCCTCCCACCTTTCAATACTCATTTTTTAGTCCCAGGAATTATTTTGTCATCTCTTTCCAATTTTTCACAGAGATGGTTATGTCGTGTGTCCACTTGAAACCCTCTTGTCTCTTTCTTGCATTTGCGAGGGCGTCGAGCGCAATATGGACTAGGATTTTTGAGGGAGACCGTTCTTGCCTTGTTTTCTATTGTAGGAAGAACACATTTAGCTTCTTACCATTAAATATAATATTAACTGTAGATTTTTTGTAGATTACAGTGAACCCTCGCCACTTCGCGCTTCGACTTCCGCGGCTTCACTCTATCGCGGTTTTTGCGTAACAG